CCCCCCCCCCACCCCCGAGTGACGTCAAACGTGAGCGACGGGCTCCAGTTTGTGTATCGGTTGTTGAGCTAACAGCTGCACCGATTGTGTTTTGCTTTGGTTTTGCCTCCCCCATGTGCGCCCGTCCCGAGGTAAGACATACGACCGTGTCCGCTCTCTCATCATGTGCTCAGCTGTCAGCCGCTTCACCTCCAGCTGCGCTAGCCCGTTAGCTCCCAGCAGCTAGCTCCATCGCAAGATCAGCACCTAATGTATGCGGAATGCGCAACCATTGCGGATGTGGTGCAGAAGAAAATGCGCATCGATGCGACAGAACACAGGAGTCAACAGCACTGAGAAAAGCCAGCATAGTTTATTTTCCTCTCTTTCTTTAAATGCTACCTAGTTGTAAGCAGTGTTATGTTTTGTTGTTGTATTACAGCTCTGAGGGCGATTCTCAGCCTGGAGGATGCATCTCACTGTGCCACAGCTGGACGTGTAGATGTAGCTCCTAGACAGCTCCAGATGTTTCCACACTGTGTGTGTATGTTTCCAGTAACATATCAGTATAAATGAAGATGGTAGAAGTGGATTGAAGTGGCTGCAGCTGGCCATACAAGTCTCTGGACTCCATGCCCTAGTCAGACAATGTGTCTCCCATTAAAGCTGCAGCAATGACTTGATTCCTTTGAAGAACAGCGTTAAAATCCCATTATTTAAGGATACGTTAACTCTGTATTTCCTATGAAATCACCGCATAGTGTGTGTGGCAGCTGTGCCCAGAGCAAGTTCATAATTATCTGATACAGTATACTGAAGAGTTGTAATGTCTTTAGCAGTAGGTGCAGTTAGACCTTGAACTCGTGTTAATGGGGCAACAGCTGCCAGTATCAGAATTGGCCGGCCAGTCAGTTCTGCTGTAAATCAGGTCTGACCCATGACTGAGTACTACGAGGAGGGGGGGCTGCTGTACGAGCAATCACCTCCCATGCACATCAAAGTGGAGTCTCCGGAGGGACCCTTTGGAGGGGGAGCCTCAGAAAACGGCTTCCCCAGGGAGGATGAGGACTCGGAGGGCAGCTGTGACCAGAGCAGTGGATTACCTGGGGGACTCCCCTTCAATGTGGTAGTGGTGCACCCGAACATCATGGCACCCGGCATGTCCTCAGACGACCTCTTGTCCATTGAACAAAGTAAGCCTGAATGAGATTTAGTATTATTTGTCATTCTCATCATTGTTTGCATTCTTTCTACTTTGTAGAATCCTGACAGAACAATTCTTTTTTTCTGTTATACAATCATTTAATTTCCTTGTTCAGAGCATGTGGCTCCTAATGGGAAGGGTGTATAAAACATGTACGCTTATAACATTATCTATTATATATTTATTATATGAAATGCCTTTATCAGCTCTGTACAGAAGCACAGCCAGGACATGCATTAATACATTTCATCTATGCAAACACAGACAGTGTTTTGTTAAATGTTGCTCTTGAAGCTCTATTCATTGCCAAAGGTAGTTAAAGTTCAATACTGTATATTTAGCACATATAGCTCAGTGAAAATAACACTGACACTTAAAGCACATTTCCTTCCTCACACATTGTATTTAGCTTCACTTTTTTCATACCTTCCTTTTATACTTTCCCTTTTGGGCTGTACTGTCACCTCTCTCTCTACAGACAGAGCTATGTCAGCTGCGCTGGCTGCTGGTGGTGCAGGAAAAAGAAAGAGTCGTTTCAGTGGGGCAGAGCTGGAGGTGTTGGTGTCAGAAGTCACCCGGTGTGAAGGAGAACTCTTTGGTCCTGCGGGGAGGCTCCGGCGGCGGGAGAGAGAGCGCATCTGGGCAGGAATCCTAGAGAGAGTCAACGCTGTGTCTAGAGTCCCACGCACTCTTCGAGAGGTCAAGAAGCGCTGGGACGACTTGAAGAGACGCAATGGAGGAAGGCTAGCAGATGCCCGCCACCGCAGCTGTTACCTGCCGTCCAGCAGAGGGGCCTCGATGCTTGGTCGTCCCTCGCAGACGAGCCCCAGGCTTCAACAAGCCAGGCAAAAGCAAAGCACCAGACCAAAGCCCAGTTTCCCATGCTTCCCTGACTCTGATACAGGTAAAAATAAATTATTGGATTATTCAGCTATTTCTTTTATTCTATAGAAGCGACGAATTTCAGTTTGTACCCACATGCAATGCTTCTTCGCAGGTGTAGGAGTGGAAGGATCAGAGAGAGATGGTTTGGAGAAGGATGAGGACAATCCTGAGCGTGAGAGAGACATGGGAGATCCTGAGTGTGAAGCAGACAACAGCATGGAGGACAAACTGGGATTAGGACTTGGTCTGGGCATAGGACCACCTCCTCCATCAGAGCGATGGCTGCCTCCTTCCCCGCTTTACAGTGCTCCTTTCCTCAATGGCAGCCCTCAGCCCAGCAGCCCTCAGCCATCACTTGGAGCACAGCAGGGTCCTCTTGAAGCCCCTCTGCGCAGTTCCTGGCTCGAAGATGAGCTACGAGGGTTAGGGGAGGCAGCGATACAGCTGGGAAATCGGGTAGAAAAGAGTCTGCGGGAGTTTGGTGAAGGTTTCAGACAGGACATGAGAACACTTGTCGCTTCACAAGAGACATTAGCAGTCAGTCTACAACAAAACAATGTCCTCTTGCAAAGGCTGTTAGGAGTGCTCGAAGCCCAGCAACAACCACAGCCACAGCAACATCGTGTACAACAAGCACACCAATCACAAACATCTCAACAGCACTTACAGCCACAGCCAGCTCAGCAGCAGCAGCAGCAGCAGCAGCAGCAGCTACAACACTTAGAACCACAGCAGCAGCCGCAACAACAACAACAACAACCGCGGATTGAAGCACCACTGCAACCACAACTACAACATCAGCAGCAGCCACATGTAGTACAGCAACAGTCCCAGCAGCACCAAACACAAATACAGCAGCAGCCACTGGTCACTCAACATTCGAATAACCAGTCGGCTGCAGCAGCGGTACCTGCACCATCGTCCCCCGACGTACATGGCACTTTTCCCTCTGATCCACCCGCAGATGCAAATGGAGGTGTGCAGAGGCCACGGCGAGGAAGAGCAGGTGATCACAGGCGCAGAAGACGGCGCTGAGGAGAAAGTACTTAACTTAAAAAGCGCACATCATGAATATGTGGTGTTTCAAAATGTGACAAGAAATGAAGCTCTTTTTCTATTGACAGTATTTCTGTATAAATAAACAGTTATTTGGAGTTTTACGTCGCGCTCCAAATCCGTAATCCATCTCACACTTGACTGTCTTCAGAGAGGACTGAAGTGGATAGGACAATTAGACACAAGAGATAATAGGGTGGCCTTAACATTAGCTTGGTTCCTCAGACAAACGTACATATTCCTGTGCTAAAAGACTTCCTGAAAACAGTTGTTCTGTGGAGTGACAACTTCACTGATGAGACTTTCGATCCCCAGAAAAACAACATACTGTAGGTGCTGATGTTTAATATGCATGTCACTGTACATGCTTTGCAGCAATTCTACTGACACACTAACGACATTGTCATAAAGTACTTGTAATCTGCAGTTGTTACCATATATTGTAGTTACACAGCTATAGTAATTACCTGCTAATGTATGCTTGTGCTTTTTTAACAGTTTCCTGGTACATACTTTTCCAGCTTTGGTTGGACAATAAAGTTAGACTGCGTTCTGTTCAGTGTGTTTTGAGACAAAAATGTTACATTTTAAAGAACTGACGTTTTACATCACAGTCATATGTTTCTGGTGGAATTAAAAAGCATACTTAAGTATGTAGGGGCTATTTATTATAATCTTGCATGCAGTATGATGGATGTGTTTGTAAGATAGTTGCAAAGAAACAGCATATGGCCATCATCTACGTAGTTTTGCACAGCCTATATTTTGTAGATAGCTACTGTTCCATTGAAATGTAACTAAACTTTAATAAAAGTCAGACATGGACTGCAAATAAATCCAGCTGATCACTTGTGGATTTGTCCCATAGCATAGGAAAAAAAAAAGTTATTTATGTTGAGCTAATGGAGTTGTGAAGGTGTGTGTTGGGTGTGTAGAACAACAAAACCACAGCAGTAGTAGTAGTAGTCGAAAGGGACGTTTTTAATTTGAGGTGTCTAATTATAGTTGATGAAATTATGAACTGCAGTTCTTTTTTTCCTAGTAATAAGAGCTTTATTTTGAAAGTTTCTACCGGAACTCAAATTCCTTGTTCAGGCTGGCGAGCATGATCCTTGTGTGTTCTGGACAAGGGGGTGCATGGGGGAAACATGGCCGCCGTAGACCCGTCGGAGTCTCCTAAACGACAGAAATCCCCTGCGGAGGAGGAGGAAACATCTGGGGGGAAGACCGAGGCGGTGGAGTCGGGATGCGGCTTTAATAAGGAAGATAAAAGGACTCCTAATAAAACCACAGAGAGCCCCGACGATGAGCAGAGAGCCAGTGCTGGCAACGACGGCGGTGTTATTGCCAGCCATTCCGAGGTTAGTGTCGAGTCCGGTGCTGGAGCCGACACAACGACATGCAATTCACCGGACGACCTAACATCGGCAGAAAAAATGACCAAGTCTCCTGGCGGCGAGCAGCGGGCTTTCGACTGGTCTGAAGCTGAAGACGACGACGAAGGGGCGAAAACACTCGAGCAGGAAAATGACAAGTGTGGTATGCTAACGTTTTTAAATGTATTTTACAGTTAGCTTTAGCCTCCGGGCTAACCTGAGCTGTGGGTTAGCTCTCACTACCGGTTCGACACACACTGACAACTCTGCTGCTGCTATTACCATCACAAATCAGCTAGCATCCTGCACTGAACACTGTGATCTGCACTGGTGGGGGTTAGCAGCGTGCAGTTTGTTT